GCTGCGGCCCCCCACCCGTCCGCGCGCTGCTCAGGGTCAGCAGGAGACAGCCCGTGGCAGCCGCCTGCCTGGTCCTTGCCTGGTGCAAAGGCTTCTGTTCGCCTCCTCGGCAGAGCTGGTGTTGTTGCCTGGTCGAGAAGAGTCGCTTGCAGAGTCCTGAATCGTTCCCTAAAGTGTTAACCCTGCGTGCATCCAAGGCACTGACACTGTTATCGCCAAATGTATCCGTTTCTTTTTATCCAGTATTCTTTCAGATATTTCATGTCCTACTATTCACCGGCGAGGGACTTGAGCGCGGCGTTGGGGGTCGGGAGGACGCAGAAGTGCCCGGGTGGGGGCTGCGAGGGGGCTGCTGTCCCGCTCGTGGGTTTGTGGAGGGCACAAGCAGAGCGTGGGCAGGCCGGTGTCCTGGCGAGGCTGAGCTGGGCAATGCGGCGGTGCCGGCACGCGTCCTCTCCAACCTGCCCGTCGTGCCAAGCCCCGTCCTTCTGCGCATGAGAATGAGTCGGGAGAATGGGTCTGGTGCTGTGGAGAAGGTTTCATGTGAGCATCCAGCATCTGTTGTGGTTTGGCCAAACCCGTCGTTACTGATGGGGGAGCAGGGGGGTGTGGGGGGTGGGAGGTGTGATGGGAGGGGAGGTACGGGCACCGGTGGGATGGGGCGAGTGGAGCCATCCCGGCATTTCTGCCCTACAAAGCACTGGGAGAGTCCTTTTGGGATGTCCCAAACAGCCGTTCTGAGAGCTCCCCGGGCCATTGCTGTGCCCCGTCCCTGCAGAAGGCGCGGGTGGGATGAGCTGGAGCTGGAGGCTCAGCCCTGCAGATGTTGCCCCCGCAGGGACACCGGGCTGCCAGGGCAGGAGGGAGCAATTCCTAGACAACTGCAATATGGGGTTTGTCCTCTTCCCACTGGCATCCCAGGAGATAAAAACCTGATGGATGTGGCCGGCGGAGTCTTGAGGGGAGAGCTTTGAGCAGGGGACATCCTGCAGGACAGGGGCTCTCCTGGGGACCGTCCTTGGCGCGGGCGGTGCTCAGGGCTGCGCCTCGGCTGCATCTCACGGAGCCAGGGCAGAAAGGGTCGACCCGAAGCCTGGTGACACGGGGCTGTCGTGCTGCTCCTTTGGCAGGAGATGGAACGATTGCTCCCATGTGTATCCAACTTTTATTCCTAACGGGATGTTAGAAAACAGAGCAGCGATGTGCCCCGTGTATGAAAAATGACAGATCCATCTTCGAGCTGGTGTGCGTGAGCTGGGATCCCAGCCTGGGGCGCACAGATGGAGTTTTTCCACGAGGGAAGAAATTAGACTTCAGAAAAAAAAATTAAAAAGAAAATCTTCGTATCTTAGCAGCATTAAAAGTGTATGAAAATAGAAACTGGAGCCAGTCCGAATGCCATATATCATCAAAATGTATTAGTGAGGAAAAAAGACAGACTGCCTTTCTCTTCATCTAAACAAACAGTTGCTGCAAGATATTCTTTGCTTTAAATCCTTGATTTGTCTCCCAGCTCGTGTCCTCGAAAGCCTGCAGCGTTTTCAATACAACAGAAAGAGCAGGAGAACGAAATGGGGAGAATTTCCTTTCCCAGACAAAACCCACACTGCTTTTTTTTTTTTTTTTCTTATTTAAAATAGGAACTTCTTTACATAATGAAAAGTTGATGCTGGATTTTCCCTTTAATTGTCACAGGTGGTTACGTGTATTCTGAAGGGAGAACAAGCTCCACGTGCAGCTGTAAGGGTGTGAAGCGATACGACCAGATACGCTCGGTGCCTCTGTCGGGGTTTCTCATCCTCAGAGCTTAGTACGGAATTAATTTTGATGGGCTAATGAAAAGAGTGCTGCAAAAGATGAGTGTTGAGGAGGATTTTTAACACCGGAAATATAATTTGTGTGATGGAACATACGAGCATCTGGCGTTGCGCTGGGAGCTGCAGACAGTGACAAACAAGCCCTCTCCCCAGCGAGCTGCCCGGCTCCCCGGCGTGTTCTCCCTTCTCTCCCCAGAGACACCCTCCAGCCTCCGGAACAAACGCTCCCTCCCCACGGTTTTCCCCACAGAGCCGGGGACGGCGTTCGGGCCAGGAGGTGGCTGTGCTTCTTCCCAGCAAAGGGCTGA